CCATATAACAGGTATTGTCCTGGAAAATTATCCAAGGATACTCAAATTACTTAGCTTAGTTGAGGATCCATCTAACTAGAATCAAATATCAGTGCAAAATCATATAGAAATATGTTTTTTTCAAGTTTTACGTTTTTTGGCTTGGTTGACATCCCCAGAGAATTGCCCATATGTTCTTAATCAGAATCTAGGGCTAAAGATTTGTGACAACATTCTTAACTATAATGCCAATCAATATCTTACCTCCTAAACAAAGTATGCATATCAGTTCACATCAACGTTAAAAAAGGGGACGTGTTGATATATAATTTTGACATTATAACCAAAACTCATTGTTAGCACTGGTAGAGTACAAAATGGTTCTTGATTAGACTCTGGGGTTAGAGATTTGTGACTAACTAACTATCAATTATAGGACCAACCAATATCATACCTCCTAAAGAAAATATGCATTTAGTTCTCATCAAGGTTAATAAAGGGGAAGTATAGTTATATTTTTATATAAAAGTCTTCACCAAATGGCGAAACTCATTGTTAGCAGTGGTAGAGTACAAAATGGTTCTTACTGAACAGGTAGAAAACGTTTGTTTGCATGTTCTGACTGAGTTTATATTCTTACTAACTGAGGACTCGACATTGCAGTGACTATAGTGCCCAGCGGACCTCCTGCCAAACGGCCGAATAAGGATCCCATGCCCTCGCATTGTCCCAGTCCCGAACAGTTTGCGGCTATGATGGCGGCATCTGGACAACCCCTCTCCAGGCATCATGTGAGTAATGCCCATATTTAATCTGGTTAATGTATTACTAATTTTAAAATATTCTCCACTCAGCTCAATGGTAAACAAAAGATTGCGCAGATGGCCCGCGGTGGCAACGGACGAAAGCAGGTCATCAGTTGGATGGATGCTCCGGACGATGTTTACTTTAGGGCTAATGATACACACAAGTGAGTAATGAGAAGGAGTAATAAAATCGTGCCATATTCGGTTTCCACTTCCGTAAAATTCAATTTGTCAAAGTCTTCCAAATCAAAAACTTTTTATGAAAAAATTGTCTTGCAATTTCTCTGACCTTTTTCAAATGGAGCTTTTGTTTTGAACGACTTTTTGGCAAATCCAAGTAAATGAAAACAAATTTCAAAACTTTTAATTTTTTACAGAAAAACGCGAAAAATACTCTCCGCCGTAGACCTGCGCCGCGCAGCGCGCAAACCATGGCGCACACTGCCCATTAAGCCTGCGGCACCCGAGCCGAGTAGCAGGCCCATTGAATCACAAATCGTCATACTGGACTGACCGTCGCCAGCAAACACATTAACAAGATCAGCGTCATCTGCAGCCGTAGCTTCATCGGCAACCAAGTTGTTATCGTCTTCAGCAAACAGATTCGAGCAGCAACATCCTCCATTTCCATACACCATGGATGCACTGCTTAACTAGTGAGCATTCTCTGGTTTGACGGGCTTGCCATGTACATACCCCCGCAGCATAAAGGCACACAGACGTGTGGACAGGCATTCGACTTAGGATCAGTGTAGTTACAGCATCACTGTATGACAACAGCAACCGATAGCAACCACAAACCACTTTATTAGCGCTTAAATAGATGTCTTTTTAAAAACAAATAGTAAGATAATAAGTGTAAAGGTCTGTGCAACAGTAACAGAACGCGAAAACAACAAAATATTTATAAATATTTTATATATTTTTTTAAATTTAAAATCTCAACACACCGAACGCAAACACACATACTGACTGCACTTTCGCTAAGAAAGTGTGGGCTTTAGGCATGAAACTCAAAAGTTCGTTAATTCGTTTAGTACACAACGCATTTGCAATGATTTTTTTTAATATATGTGCATGTGAGTTCTTGAGATGTTCTGTCGTACTTTCAAACCGCGCTTCAAAGTTCCACGTTTAATTCCCTAAGCCTAAACCTAGCTAAGAACCAGATACGTAATTATGAAATTAAAAGGCCTCCAAAATTTTAAATATTTTTCTGTCCGGACTTTAGTTGTATGCATAGAAAAACCGAAAGATATATTTGAAATTGTTTGAATGCTTTAAATTGAACGAATGAGAAATTTAATATTGTTAATAAATGTGACGTGCAAAATTAAATAATTAAAACCCCATAATTTATGCTGTAACTAATAACGGAAAACTTCAAAGAGCGAAATGTACAGTCAAAACTAAAACGTTAAAATTCGAATAAAATGTATTTTCATAATTTATGTAAACAAAAGAAAGTTCGGTAATTTAAAGAGCTAGCACACACACGCCTACACACAACCGACACCCACATATAGCATAATACTTACGCATATAAATTAGTACGAGTCTAAGCCGATATACATTTTAAAATGTATGAATAATTTGATTACAGCGTCGCAGATAACAAAGAATGTCTAGACCCTAGAGGAAGAGCAGCAGTGCGAGCTGAAATCAGCAGAACATAAACAGAAAACCAATAAAATTAAAATATTATGAAGAAGTTTCGATTGTAAGCCAACATACTTTTAACTTTACGACCTAAGCAATTTTGTAAAATAAAAACACTTCAAATTAAACGGTTAGTTAAGTCGGAATAAGAGAACGGATCGAAAGCTGCAACTATTATCAAATTCAGGCCCATGACCACAGCAAAGCCGCGCGAATGTTTAAACAGCCATCCACTATTGATTTGATTTCATTTTTCCACAAACTCCATAACTTTAAACCAAAAGTCGGCGACTTCTAGCAGCGAATTCAGCAATAACAAACAGAGAGAGAAGCAACAGAAGCAAATCAAACAGAGCTATATACATAATTATATACCTATATATATATTATATACAGATATACAATATAACAGTACACATACAATGCGCATTGGATAATAACAGTACGCATAAACATTTTTACAGAGCAAGAAAATGACGAAGACGACGACGGGACGGCAAGACAAGCAACCGAAAAAAGTTTTCCAAATAAAGTTTTAAAACTAAACATTTTTCCTAAAAATATGCAAATATTTGAGGACTTTATTCACGTGTCTTTAAAAAATAGTTAACAATTTTTGGTAATTATTGGTCAAAGCTGGCAACGCACAAGGAGGCATTTGTTCCTCCAAAACCAAAGGAATTCTTGAGAGCAATGCGCCGTTTTTGATCAGGTGACCATTCGGTGGCTTCCCTGACCACGTTGACGTCCACATCCAGGTGCTCTATGTTGATGGAGGGCGGCAGCTTGTTTTCCGCACAGGCGAGAACCACAAAAAGCGCTTCCAGATTGCCGGACGAGCCCAACAGGTGCCCGTGGGCTCCCTTTGTCGAGGAGACCCTGACCTGAGGCGTGTGCTCGCCAAAGACACGTCTTATGGCGTGCGACTCGATGCGATCGCCGGTGGGCGTAGAGGTGGCGTGGGCATTTACATAGGTGACTTCATCCGGAGAAATCCCAGCGTCGCGTATAGCCCGTTTCATGGCTAGAGTAGCTCCGGCGCCGTCCTCGCTGGGCGAGGTTATGTGATAGGCATCGCCGGACAATCCGTAGCCCAAGATCTCGGCCAGGATAGGAGCTCCTCGGGCGCGAGCATGCTCAAGTTCCTCCAGCAGCAGGACAGCTGCCCCCTCGCCCATCACGAAGCCATCTCGCGATTTGTCAAAGGGTCTGGAGGCCACCGACGGGTTATCGTTGAATGCGGTGCTCAAAGCCCGCAATCTGCAAAACCCGGCGATGGAGAGGGGATCTATGCAGGCCTCGCCACTTCCCGCCAGCATCACATCTGCATCGCCATTGCGGATAAACCGCATGGCATCTCCCAGTGCATGGGCTCCCGTTGCGCAGGCCGTGGACACCGAGTGGTTGGGTCCTCTCAGGCCATGACGCATGCTGATGTGACCACAGGCCATGCTGGGCAAGAGTCTGGGCACAAAAAAGGGGCTGACTCTGTTGTATCCGCGCTGCAGCTGGTTCCAGGCCCCGTAGACCTCCGCCAGGTCGAACATCCCCATGCCCACGCAGACGCCGAAGCGCTCCAGCTGCTCCTCGCTCAGACTCTTCGGGTTCAGCTTTCCGGTAGCCAGAGCCTCCTCCGCCGCCAATACAGCCAATTGGGTGGCTGGGCTCATCAGCTTGATATCCGACTTGGTCAGGTGCTTGTCCAACTCCAGCTTGTCCCTCGGGATTTGGGCCGCCACCTGGCAGGGCAATCCCTTAAACTCCGGTCCCAGTCGAGAGATTGCCGACTCTCCGGCCAGGATGCGTCGCCACGAATCTGGCCCATTGTTGGCCAGCGGCGTCACTGCTCCACCTCCCGTGACCACCACTCTTCGTCGGCCAGATTGCGTGGATGAGTTTCGCGCCTGGTGGGCAAATAGAGTGCAGTTCCTCAAAAATCGCATTTTCGTGTTATGTTATGTTTACATGATCAGGTGAGTGAGACCGGGTCGACCGTTAAAATATACCAACCGGCCTTAAAAAAAGACTGAAAATGAAGTATTTAAATATCTACCACAAAAATACTTTCTCTTAAAATTAAAACAGATCTTTTCTTTTCTAACTTAAATATAAACAAACAAAAATATATAACTTAAATAATTTCTTAATTCTACCACTTTTAAAATAAATTGTTTCATACCATCAACATTTTTTTGTTTGCTTATTTGACTACAAACACTTTTTATTTTAAATATCCCATTTTTCTATATAGCGGCTTTTATATAGTTTTAAAATTTTAAATATAATAAATTGTAAAAATCAAATTTGTAACTTTAAAATTAATTTAAATCTTATGTAATTTTATTTGTATCCAATAGAAGTCAAAGTTTTAAAATTTTGAGGCAAATTTATTTATTATCTAAAAAAATTCTCAAAATAATTCAAAATTAAATAAAGCTTTAGATTTTATATAATTATTTCTATATTTAAATGTTAAAAAAACTTCTATAAACAATTCATACAATTATATTGGTTAAGAGATTGTATGTGCGAATACCCCCTATGAAATAAGCAAGATGCGCACAGGGCTTGAGATCCCCTTACGTAATTCTGGATCATGAATTTCGCCGGCAAAGTCGTTCTAATTACAGGAGCAAGCTCCGGAATCGGTGCTGCCACTGCCGTAAAGTTCGCCAAGTACGGAGCTTGCCTGGCGCTGAATGGACGCAATGTGGAGAATCTCAAGAAGGTGGCCGAGGAGTGCGGAAAGGTGAGCCAATCCCAGCCAGCTCTGGTGGTGGGCGACATCGCCAAAGAGGCGGACACCCAGAGGATCTGGACGGAGACCCTGGAGAAATACGGCAAACTGGACGTGCTGGTCAACAATGCCGGAATTATCGAGACGGGCACGATTGAGACCACCAGTCTGGAGCAGTTTGATCGCGTGATGAACACCAACCTCAGGGCGATCTACCACCTGACCATGCTGGCCACTCCGGAGCTGGTGAAGTCCAAGGGCAACATCGTGAATGTGTCCAGTGTGAATGGCATCCGCTCTTTTCCCGGCGTCCTGGCCTACAACATTTCCAAAATGGGGGTGGACCAGTTGACCCGCTGCGTGGCTCTGGAGCTGGCCTCCAAGGGTGTCCGGGTGAACTGTGTGAATCCCGGCGTGACAGTGACCAACTTGCACGCCCGTGGCGGCATGGACCCGGAGACGTACAAGAAGTTCCTCGAGCACTCGAAAACCACCCATGCCCTGGGCCGCCCCGGCGATGTCAAGGAGGTGGCTGCGGCCATTGCCTTCCTGGCCAGCGATGAGGCCAGCTTCAGCACTGGGGTCAGCCTGCCCGTGGACGGAGGTCGCCATGCCATGTGCCCACGCTAAGTCCGGAGGATATGGAGTGTTCCAGCTCCTTGCATGGAAATTTCCATGTGTAAATGCATTTAAACCTTTTTTTTCAATTGTTATTTTGAATTTCCTTATGTTCTTATTGTTTGTTTTATGTACACACAAAAACATAAAATGTATTTTTATTAATCAGTCATCTCTAAAACCCTTCTTCCTAAATTAACAGAAATATGTATAACACATTCTCATAAAATCTATTAATTTTGTTGATTTTTTCATTTCTTATAATTTAAACTAGTTATGATCAAGTTATGTTTCCCCTTAAAGTCATCTACATAGTTTAATTTTTCAACCTGAAACTCGGACACTCGATTCGATGGGCAGCAAGGGCAAGGCGGGTCTGGACTTTTCCGGCAAGGTGGTGTTGATCACCGGCGCAGCCTCCGGGATTGGGGCCGCTACGGCGGAAATGTTCTCCAAACTGGGAGCTTGCCTGGCGCTAGTGGATCGGGAGGAGGAGGGTCTCATAAGGGTAATGAAAAAATGCATGAAAACGGGCCACGAGCCGTACGGCATTGCCGGAGATCTGCTCAAGCCCGTGGAGATGGAGTGCATTGCGAGGAAGACCAAGGAGCGCTACGAAGGTAAACTGGATGTCCTGGTGAATGGGGCTGGCATCATGCCCACGGGTACGCTGCAGAGCACCGAACTATCCTGCTTCACGCACGTAATGGAGGCCAATGTTCGATCCGGGTTCTACCTGACCAAGTTGTTACTGCCCCAGCTGCTCCAGTGCAAGGGCACCATCGTCAACGTGTCCAGTGTCTGTGGGCTGCGCGCCTTCCCCGATTTGGTGGCCTACAATATGTCCAAGGCGGCGGTGGACCAGTTCACCCGCTCCTTGGCCCTGGATCTCGGTTCCCAGGGTATCCGGGTGAATTCAGTCAATCCGGGGGTGATACGCACCAATCTGCAAAAGGCCGGTGGGATGGATGATCAAAGCTATGCTGAGTTTCTGGAGCGCTCCAAAAAGACCCACGCCCTGGGCAGGATTGGAGAGCCAGAGGAGGTTGCGTCCGCCATTTGTTTCTTGGCCAGTGAACTGGCCAGCTTTGTGACCGGCGTCAATCTTCCTGTAGACGGTGGCATGCAGGTTATGTGTCCTCGCTAAGCCCTGCAAATGAGTCCAATTCAATCCTGTCCAGCCGAAAGCCTTTCCTTTTTACTTGTTGCCCGCCGACTCACTATCAAAATTTCAAATTTATAGTTACACTTTGAAAATGAATTTATTTCATACATTGCAATTTCGGAAAAATTATATGTAAATCCGATTTATGTACACGCAATTATAAATTGAAAAACCAAAAATTTGACTTTTATATATTTCAGCAAGCACTTTAAATTAAGTAACGAACTACAAAAATGTAGGGGGAACATTTGGATATATTTTTAATATTTTTAAAATATTTGCTCTCCGTAATTTGGAGGCCAATAAATGCATTCTGGACAAGTAACCCGATTCTCATCGCGGGCACATGGCATGACGACCTCCATCCACGGGCAGGCTGATACCAGTGCTGAAGCTGGCCTCATCGCTGGCCAGGAAGGCAATGGCGGCAGCCACCTCGTTGACTTCTCCGGGACGACCCAAGGCATGGGTGACCTTGGCGTGCTCCAGGAACTTGGCGTACGCCTCCTCGTCCAGTCCGCCCCGTCGCTGCAGCTCAGTGATAATCACGCCGGGATTCACGGAGTTCACGCGGACACCCTTGGGAGCCAGCTCCAGGGCCACACACCTGGTGAACTGATCCACAGCCGCCTTGGAGACGTTGTAGGCCAAGACGCCGGGAAAAGAGCGGATGCCATTGACACTAGACACGTTCACGATGTTGCCCTTGGTCTTGACCAACTCCGGCGTGACCAGGGTGGTCAGTTGGTAGAGCGACCGCACATTGGTGTTCATCACGCGATCGAACTGCTCCAGACTGGTGTTCTCAATGCTGCCCAGCTCCAGAATACCGGCATTGTTTACCAGCACGTCTATGCGTCCGTGCTTGGCCAACGTGGCGGAGACGATGCCTTGGACATCCGACTCGCTGTTCATGTCCGCGGCCACCTGAAGAGCAGGGGCTCCTCCAGCTGCCACTATCTGCTCGGCGGTTTCCTTGAGCTTATCCACATTCCTGCCCACGATGGTGAGGAGGCCTCCGAGTTTGGCCAACAGGACTGAAGTGCCCGCTCCGATTCCCGAACTGGCGCCGGTCACTATTATAACTTTATCTTTAAAACTGGGCATGTTGAGGTGATCTGCCTGAAAACTGGAATGATAATAATGGTGACATTGAAGACCCAGAAGTCAACTTTTTGGGGGTGCTATTCGATTATACTATCGATAGAGTGGAACTTTCAAAGCTATTTCTGGCGGTTGTGAAATTCAAAGTATCTAGAGTCGGTGTTAATTAAAATTTAATTTGTTATTGTTTATACTATGCATGTGTTATGTATTAGCCAACCTTCGCGTTGATTCTATTTATACTTGTGTAAACTAATCAGTAAATTCCTCCCTATTATTATATTTGTAAGTGGTTGTTTATCAAATATAGTGATTGTCCCTGGAGACATTAAAATAAAATAAACAAATAATATTAAAGTGGTTATGGTTCGCCTAACAAAATTTTATGTTTTATGAAGAACATTTAAAGATTTTAGAAGTGGTCATATGTTCTGTTGCATATCATTTAGTTTTGCTATTATTACATTTAAAGATATTTAAAATTTTAAAGTCAAAACGGAATTTAAAAAATTTAGAATTTATAAACCGCTTTAAAAGATATTTCTTTGAATAAAAGAAGAAACAGTTTAGAATTCAGTATAGATAACCTATTTACCACCTATTTAAATATTACCTGAATTATCATTAAAAAAATCAACATTAAAATAGTGTATCTTCAAGTAAAGGATTAAATTAATATTTAATTTCAATACTTTAATTTAATTATTGACCACATATACATAGGTCATTAAATTCGTAAATGCCACCGAACGATTAGTATATTTCAATCTTCCCATCCTGAATTTATCTAGGGCACATGGCATGGCGACCTCCGTCCACGGGCAGGCTGACTCCAGTGCTGAAGCTGGCGGCCTCGCTGGCCAGGAAGGCAATGGCTGCAGCCACCTCCTTGACATCCCCAGGTCGGCCAAGGGCGTGAGTGACCTTGCAGTGCTCCAGGAACTTGGCGTACGTCTCCTCGTCCATGCCGCCGCGCTTGTGGATATCGGTCACAATCACGCCCGGATTGACTGCATTGACACGGACCCCTTTGGGGGCCAGTTCCAGGGCCACGCACGCCGTGAACTGATCCACAGCCGCCTTGGACACGTTGTAGGCCAGGACACCGGGAAAGGCGCGTAGTCCACAAACGCTGGACACGTTCACGATGTTGCCCTTGGTCTTGACCAGCTCCGGAGTGGCTAGCATGGTGAGTTGGTACAGGGACCGCACATTGGTGTTCATTAGGCGATCGAACTGCTCCAGGCTGGTGTTCTCGATGGAGCCGGTCTCCAGGATGCCTGCATTGTTCACTAGCACATCGATTCGTCCGTACTTGGCCAGAGTGGCGGCCACAATCTGCTGTACCTCGGCCTCCTTGGTCATGTCAGCCTGCAGTTCCAAGGCTGGAGCTCCTCCGACAGCCACAATCTGGTCGGCCGTCTCCCTTAGCTTCTCCACGTTGCGACCCACGATGACCAGGAGCCCTCCGAGGCTGGCCAAGTGGACGGCAGCACCTGCTCCAATGCCGGAGCTGGCTCCGGTCACAATAATTACTTTGTCCTTGAATGAAGACATTTTGGCTAGTTCCTATGATGCTAAACGAGGTCTGGCAAACTGATCTGCTCCAGCTGATCACCGAAAGCTTTTCTAAACAGCTGAGCCGGAAAAGCTTTATGAAAAGTTATAGCTTTATTTTAAACAGTCGCAATTTTTTAAATTTTTATTTCATGGTAAGATTTTATTTTAGGGGTTGCAAAATAAATTAGGAGAGAACGCTATCGTCGGGTCCCCGATTATCAGATACCCGTTACTCAGCTAAAGGGAGTGCGAGGGAGATGGAGATATAAATCTTTGATCATGCATAACTTTTTAACGAATGGTCCGATTCCAGATACCTTTAAAAATCGTTCAAGGCGATGCAAGGAAAAGGCGTGACCCTCGGCTGTAACAAAATTGCGCTGCGTAGGAAGCCCAAGAATATCGTAGAGTAAAAGGGTAATTTGTATTCGTGCAAAAGTATGTAACAGCTAGAAGGAAGTATTTCCGACCCCATAAAGTATATATATTCTTGATCAGGGTCACTAGCCGAGTCGATCTAGTCATGACCATCTGTCCGTCTCTCCGTCTGTCCGCCTGTCCGCCTGTCCGCCTGTCCGTCTGTCTGTCCGGATGAACGCTGAGATCTCGGAAACTACAAAAGTTTAAAATGTGTCTGGCGCCGATACCTTTAAAGATTTCCGAGAAGTATAAATGCAATTTGGTTGTGTATACTTATACCTATTGAAATGTAGAAGATATTTTTCAAATCGGACCATTCATTAAAAAGTTATGCGCAACCAAAAAAGTGTTATGTATTCGTCTCCCTCGCACTCCCTTTAGCTGAGTAACGGGTATTAGACAGTCGGGACACCAATCCGACTATAGCATTCTCTCTTGTTTATCTTAGTTTATTTTCTGTACACTTTCTTTAATTTAGACAAAATCGCCATTACAACCAAATCGATGACATTTTTAAAAATCACTGATAAATGTATCATTTTTTTTTTGAAAGGCTAGTAGTAGCTAGGGGGTGTATGATACAAAAATAAAATTTTGGAACAGAGGTTTAACCTCATATTTTATTATTGCAGCTGTCATTTTTTTCTAATCAAGTCTTCTGAGATTCGAGGCCTTTGGTGAATCCTTATATGGGAAAAACTTGTCAAAGTATTCATACTTTATTTACTCAAAAAAATAAAACATGGCGTTGGTGAACATATTAATAGTTTTGGCTCTTTGTTGGGTGAAATTTAAAATCACTAAAAATTATTTGAAGCAGACCTCATTAATAAACCTATCTTGCAGTTGGTCGCGGTCAAAGCTGGCCTTAACGAGGACTACCTACGCGAGCACAATCGGTTGAGAAAGGATCACGGCACTCCTGCGCTTATTTTAGACGACTCCCTATCTAAAGGGTGCGAGGAATATGCAAAAGTATGTACCGGGCTCTTTTTAATTAATTTTTTAACCAGGCGATACCCTCCCAATCGCTCGTATAGGAGTTAGCCGAAAAAGAGGTTATGGCCCATTCAACTGATGGAGGCACAAAGTATGGTGAAAACTTGTGCATGCGGTCAGAAAAACCTTTACAATGTGTTCAAGATTGGTACGATGAAATAGAGGACTACAACTTTGATAATCCAGGGTTCTCTATGGGTACTGGCCATTTTACCGCCCTAGTTTGGAAGAGTGCAAAAAAACTAGGTATCGGCCAGGCCAAAGATAAACAAGGGCACTACTGGGTGGTAGGAAGATATTATCCACCAGTGAATGTTTATGGGAAGTTTAAAGAAAATGTTCCGAGGCCGCTCTCGTAAGTTCTCGATGTCTTTTTCTAAACTTTTTTTTTCTAATTTAATTTTATTGCAGGCAGAGTGGGGGTGGTGGTGGACAAGGTCAAGGACATGTTTCTAGTGACGACAACGAAGACAACTCTAATATGATTCGAGTTAACACCATTCTCATCTTGATTGCCTTGTGCCTTCTCTTCACGAATTAAGGTCAACATTTTTATTTCCTCTTGCCTGCAACAGTTGTAAATTTGTTGTTCACCAATTCAAAAAAAATTATTTTTTATTTAAATTGCTAGATGTATAAAATAATAATAAATTATAGCTTTTGAAAAAATGATCAATCTGACTCTTTATCTGTTGAGCATCGGTTTTAGTGCATGTTCTTTTTGGGGCAGGATCAAAGTCCTTTTTGAAATCTCTTTGCGAGACTTTCCCTTGATCATATTGGCCAGCCCCTTGGATATGATGTCCAGATAGTTGGCGGCCAGGATGACTTTAACCATGTGCCCTATCAACTTTCAGAATATCGGCACCACGGCCTTATACTCCGTCGGCTGGGAATAGTCCAGGTGCTTGTTGTAATTTATTTTAACGATAAGCAGGATAATATAATTTGCACAATTTAAATTTTATTAAGATTTAATTAAAACAATAAAGATAGCTTCGGCCAGCCGAAGCTTATATACCCTGGCAGATCATTATTATTAACCTCTAAAAAATTCGACTTTGGGCTTAAAAAAAAAATACTTAAAGTTAAAAAATAAAATAAAACGCTTCCCAGGGGGCGGGTTTTTTTATGCAGAAAAATATGCGACAAATTTGAAAACGATCGGTTGAGCCGTTTAGAAATGCCGATGACCACAGACTTTCAAAACATGGTTTCGAGAAAAACGCCCTAAAAGATGCACTTACGTACCTAAAGTCTTAGAGGTAAGGGTACTAGTTACAGCATAACTTCTAAAGTTTTTGTCCGATTGACTTAAAACTTTTTTTTGTATACTCTTGAGATGTTAATATACAAGAAAATTTTTTTTAAAAAAATCGAAATTTTTTTTTGCTAAACCCTACCCTCCTCTTAAAACAATAAACATTTTAGCTGCTTTCGTATTATTTTGGCATTCTTTTTTTGATCCTTCCTATGGGAGCTATATAATATAGACGTCCGAAAATCGTCAGTGAAGCAAATCCATAGGCGATTTTCTAAAATTCAGGGCGATTAATTTTTTGAGTGTAGATCATTAGGTGTGGGGGTAATTGCCAGGCAATAGCTTAGATTTATCCGTATTTGGCCCACACTTTTCAAAATTTTCTCTCGTTGCACGAGTCGTTTGATGGAAATTTTAGGAGACCCAGCCGGATGATTTATGTCTGACCATATCTTTTTGGTGGTGAACAGAAAGATTTCGACAGATTTCTTTTATTTTTAACCAATATTTATATAATATCAACCCAATATTTTTTCTTAATAACAGGTAACATAGACTAGCACTAAATATAACATAAACTCCAACTTAAACAATCAATGCTGAAAGTACCAAAGTGAAAAATTGGAGACATGAAACTGTTGCATGTCATTCACCACATTTCTAAACGATAGTGAACCTCCGAGCCTTCCACTCGCTATAGAGACGCTCGATCGTCTGAAGGGTTACACTTGGCAGTGCGTCGCGCATATCGCAATAATCGTAAAAGAGATTCCTGATCCCGACCAGAAGGTTCCTTTCCAGCCGCCTCCACTGCCGCAGGGTCTGCTCTTCGGAATCCCGGCACATTTCGGTCAGGTGGCAGCTTTGTACGAACCGCTGTTGATGCATCAACTGCTCTGCATTGCGGCGCAGAATTTTATCACCTTGTCGACCGAACACGCGATTACAAATCTTTTTAAGATGCACCTCTAGCTCGATGTCCAAAATGCCGATTTTCTCCACAAAATGGGGCATAATAAGTTCGTCTGATGAAGGAAAAATTTTCATCAGAGTTTTAAAAACTGGCCTGGGAAGCTTGGCCTTGGTCTTGATCTCCTGTAGATAGATCTGCGCGGGCACTTTATCGTCATAAGTTTCGTTTTCTTCTTCGGAACTGACGTATGTTTCATCACTCTGAAAAACACTGATTAAACGTCTTGCTACCAACAACATTGCTTCCTGGATATAATTGTTTGTGGCCTTAGCTTGACCCTCTGACAGTTTCTTCTGTAGAAGGCAATTTTCGGCAGCCAATATGTCGGGATGGTAATCCGAAGTCCTAGCTTGCGATAAGAGCTGGCCAAAAACACGTCTTTGCTGGCCCCGGTCCTCCTTCATCATAATTTGATCTCGGCTAATCTCAGGTTGTTTGATCTGGGTATATCGTTTTTTGCCAGTCCTCGTGCAGTAAGTCAAGCCAATGTCACCTGCTATTCCTCCACCTTCTTCCCGCTTCTCTTCAAGTTCTTTCTCGTCAGTGGAAGATGATCTTGGCCGAAGCATTTTCCGCCACTCGGCCACCCGATTGCGAACATAGGAGCCATAAGCTTCCTGCTGCTCGGTGTTTCCATATGGGGTGGGTGGAACATTCTGGTGATTCACCGTATAGGATTTCCTTTGCGGACTGTATCTTCCCACCAAGGAGTAGCGAGGTTCAGGATTGTTTTCGGCGCTGGAAGACCTGCCGATCAGGGACTCTCGTCCCTGTCTTGCATAATTCCCTGACTCGGAATTATCTTCACTGCCCATGAAGCGAGCCCATCGCTCGCGGCGACACTTCAAGGATCCCGGATAAAAATACTCACGACTGGAACTCGATCTGGTTTTTTGGGTTCCGAGCTGCTGATGAGAACAGTATTCGTCGTCTACATCCTTTGACTTTGGTTCAGCAGCCATTCTCCTCATATTATTTCTCTGGATAAAGTTTCGATCTGACAGCACCCCTGCTTCCAAGCGCAGCTCAAGCTCTCCGCTTAGCCTGCTGCTATGCTTCTCATTGAGCCTATTTAAACTGATATGAACATCCTTGCTGGTTGACCCCAGTTTCTGTATGTCTCCTGGAGGATTTTCGAACAAAATATTATTCGACTTGTTTTCCCGCATGTCATCGTTTTGGTAAAGTTCCAGTCGTCTTTCAAAATGCTTCTTCAATTTTCTCGAGACCTCTATTGCCTTACTTTCCAGCTGGATTCCTCCCTCCGTAGTCTGTCTTAGCAGTTCAATTCTTTGATTCCAGTCTCTTTCCTCTCGATCCAGCTTGTCTCTAAGGTGCTCTTCTTCCTTTCTTTTTAAGCGGTTATCCTCCAGCTTTGACTTTTTCTGCTGATCCTGTAATAGTATGTCTTTTTTTTGTCGAATATGTTCTTCTCGGTCCTTTCTCTCTTTCTCCTCTCTATCTGTCAGCTCACTAGTTCTATCAATGATTTTTCTTTCACATTTTTCAAGTATCCTTTTCTGCCTAATATCTCTTTCTTTTTTTTCCATCATCTCTTCTTCCTCCTGCATTTGAAGCCACCTCCTAAGAATCTTTTCCCTCTTGAGATCTTCTTCTCTGGCATTTCTTTCCAACTCTTCCCTTTCGCTTTTGCTTTGCTTGATCTTTTCCAAAAGTCTTCTTTCCCTAACGAGCTCTTCTTCCTTAGATATTCTTTCGCACTCGTCTTGCTCTCTTTTTTCTAGCTCCCGTTTTTCTTGTGCTATTTTTTCTAGTTCCTCGTTCCTTTTTATCTCTCGTTTTTGTACTTCATTAAGGGTAGCTTTGAGTTCTTCGATCGTTCTTCCTTCACGTTCACGTTCTTCGCATGTCTTTCTTTCAAAGACTTCTCTTTCTTTTCGCTCTTTGTCTAGTTTTTCAAAAACTTTTTTTTCAAACTCTTCTCTTTCACGCAGTTCCTTTTGACATTTAAGGTCCAGCTCTCGTTTTCTTTCCAAGTCTTCCTTTTCCTTTCGATCTGTTTCAAGTCTTTTTTCCAGTTCTTTTCGTTCAAACTCTTCTCTCTCCTGACGTTCCTTGAGGCTTATGAGTTCGTGTTGCCTTCTTCTTTCCAAGTCTTCCCTTTCTTTTCGTTCGGTTTCTAGTCTTTCCAAAACTTTTCGTTCGAATTCTTCTCTCTCCCGGCGTTCGTTAAGAAGAGCTTGAAGCTCCTGTTCCCGCTTTCTTTCGTGTTCTTCCCTTTCCCTTTGATCGGTTTCTGATTTCAATTCTTTTTTCGCAATATCTTCTTTCTTCTTGCGTTCCTTAACAGTTGTTAGCTCGGGTTCTACTTTTTCTATGCTTTCAGAAAGACTTGTGACCTCCTGTTGCCGCATTCTTTCGAAGTCTTTTCTTTGCATTCGATCGGTTTCTTTTATTTTTTCCTGGTGTTTCCTGAGTCTTTTTTGCTCCTGTTCCCTTATCCCTACAATGTCTTCACCCTGATCGGTGCTTACTTTTTTTTCAAAATCTTTTTGTTCAAACTCTCCTCCTGGTTTTCTCGCTTTCTTCTGTAGATTCTTGTTTTTTTCTCCTTTTTCTATTTGGTTGTTACTTTCAACTTCTTCGTTCGCCCCCAATGGCTCCTTTGAGTCCCGCTCCCGTCGCTTTCTGAGCTGTTTCTCCCTCTCGGACCGCGCCTTTTCCCGATGGTATTCCTTTAGCTGCTCATAGGCCAACACTTTCCGTTTTATGTTTTCCGCCCTTAGGTGCAGCTGCTGCTCACGTCTCGAACTTTTGGTAGCATCTGACTCGACTGGCATGGTAATGGCAATGGCTTCTGACCTGCTTTTAACTTCGTGTCTAAGTTCCTGATTAGGATGCTGCTCCAGCTCCCGGACTTTGAAATCCTCGGATGAAGGTGTGCAAGGACGCCGCTGAGTCCACAACCGCTGATCCTGTAAGCGTTGCGCCTCGCGCTTCTTTAGCAGCAGATAGCGCTCATAGTCCCGTCGCTCCTTGACCTTCAGTTGCTGCTCCCGCAACCGCCGATCGCGCTGTTGACGTGCTTTTTCCAGGCGCTGGCTGTCCAGTTTCCGCTGCTCGGCCAGCAGAATCCTTTGCCGATCCCGCTCCTGCTCCCTGACCTGCCGCTCCAGACGATCGCGTTCCCGCCGCTTCAGGATCTGACGCTGTTTTCGCTCGCGCTCGCAGAGATCTCGTTCAGCCCGCGGCGAGAGCACGGGTACATCCACCTGGAGGCCAAAGGTCTTCCCAGTTTTCTTCGCTTTGGGCGCTATGGGCGTTGGCTTGGGTTCGGGACATTCCTCTGTTGGGAGATCTAGGTTCCATATCTCCTGCTCCTCGCGCCAGTACTGGTCTTCCAGATGGTCGAGGTGCTGCACCCTCCTTCGCCACTCGAACGAAGACGGCTTAATCCGCCTGGTGGCCAGGATGCAGCTCGATGGCCGTGGGGCCACCACCTGCGGGGGACTGAAGCGACGCAATCGCTGACGTCCCTCCTCGTCCAGCAGGAGACGCAGCTCCAAGCTGCAATTCGCCAGGTTAGTGAAAGGCAGCGACAGTTGACCCGACTCTCTCAGCTGCCGCAGCATCTGCTCCAGGAGGTAGTCCCTGGCCCTGCCCTCCTCCTTCGTGGCCCGACTGAAAACGTACATCCACTTCGCGCAGAGGTCCAGATCCTTGGCACTCGCATTTCGGGCGGTCAAGCCGCGGATGATCCTCACCTTCTGACGGTAATTACGCTCCAGGCGGTCCTCCAAGGAGCTCCTCTTGATGCGATTCCCAACATCTCTCTTTTTGACGCTGGCCATGGAATTTGCAAAACCTTTGAAAAACTAATTTTTATTTTACTTATTTAGCTGGCAGGATTCGTTCGAAGAAAACAAAAAGCTATTACGACTGTGTGCCAGACAAGTGAGTGCCGTTAAGCTTGCTTTGATTTTAAATTTACTTTATTCGCCAAGCTTCATATTCGAGCTGTTTTAATAAATCTATATTCCTTCAATCGTCGTGATCTCCGAAAAGTAATTCCTCGTTTGAATTGAATATATTTAAAAACCAACAAAAAACTATCACAACGATATAGCTGATTTTTTAAACAACCTTAAGATCCAGTTCAATCATAAGTGTCAGTGTTTTTTTTAACGTTTTTTAATATGAATAATGGTTAAGCATTTTTTAGCAGAAACCAGAATAACGTCTTATCTATATTTTATTTGATTTCTTTAAGGTAAAACTTGTTGTTATTTATTCTGATATTATGTTCTTTCCTTCAGCAGGTTCATCGCGTTTTCCTCTTCAACCCGCAAAAGAAGCTCTGGTTTATTATGGTGTTAAAGAAGAATATAGAAGATACATAGGTCCATACTTTCATAACAACGTTAAGCAGTGCTCAAAACCAACCAGAATTGTTTACATGTTTGTTGTAAAAAAAATTAGACCCTCCAAGACGATTGTTTTTTAAACTAGATGTTGTTTTATTCTCTTTTAAAAAACTGCTACGCATCTGAACGTACGTAAATATGCCCTTGTCGTTGTCCTTAAACCTCGTAGCCGTAGGATTTGATGATTTTGTTGAAGGGCTCGGCGGCCTTGGCGATGTTCTCGCGCGCCTTGACCGTCAGCTTCTTCAGCTCCCGGTTGTGCTTGAGGGTGACGCGGAGCTTGGCCTTGCGCTTGCGCTCCAGGCTCTTGATCACGTCCTGGTAGTGCCAGCCGACCTCGTGCGACAGGCGGCCGACCTGGCAGTACTTGCGGTCGGAGCGCAGAGTCAGCACTCGCATGGCGATGGGCACGACGACGCGGCGACGCTTGTCGTAGGGCGATGGGATGCCGTCGAAGACTCGGAGACGGGCGAGGGCGGCCTGGCCACGCTTGGTCTTGTGTGGAATCATGCCTGTAATGAAGAGGACAGCTCGTAAGTCACGGGTACGCAATCTTGGGAAGAAGTTAAGGTGGTTGGGAGCGTCAGTTGAGAGTTCGTTACACGGTTTCTCGTTCAAATAATGTAGGTAAGAATGTGATAATCATCATGGCAGGGGGAGCAGCTTTCAGTCGGTACTTTACGCTTACCTAAAACAGAAGAAAAAGAGATTAGAAAGTGTTTTTTAATAGAGGCCATAGAGTCAGGGCAGTTAAAGTAGCAGCAGCATCTCTCAGTTATGTTTTGTTTACATGGCTTCTCATTCAAATAATGTAGGTAATAAGGTTTGAAAACATCATGGAACTGCGCTGAACTCAACTCCTCCCCAGGAGGATACATACCTCGGACAGCCTTGTAGAAGATCCGGGAGGGAGCACGGAAGTGGAAGGGACCACGGGCCGGGTTCACGTTGCACCGCTTGCGCAGGTAGGCCAGGAACTTGATCTTGTTCCTGTAGAAGTGTCCGGAGAGGTTCAGCTCCTCGCAGCGGACGACGGCCACCTTGCCGCCCTGCAACAGGTACTTGGCCACCACGGAGGCCAGGCGGCCGAGCAAATGGCCGCGACCATCAATAACAACGGTCTGAAATTGGAGGAAAGTGGATTAAAACAGGAAAACAACACGGAAATTTTGTGAGGTTAGGTTTGGCGGCAAGCGCATAAACAAATGTGTGTGGCGCCTTATTTTCAATCAGAATGCTGTTTTCTTGAAGCAATCAATACATTTCATGATCTGTAAGCTCCTGGCCAGCAGCTCACTCCAGATTATCACAGATGTTGGCTTCTTTGGCACGTGTAAGGCGAGACGCCTTTTCAAACACTCAAAAACAGCACTTCCAACTGCACGTTTCACACATTTCACCACTCCCGCGGTGGCCACCATTGTGCGCGAAGAAATTCACACATTTGCTTGATGCTCGGGCCGTTTTAAAGTCGTTTTTTCGGCACTTACCCTGTTCGTTAAACCAGTCATGTTTAAGAACCGCACGGAAAGAAGGCGGAAGTGGCGTTGACAGTTCGAGCATCGCTGCGCAGGGTTGCTTTGGGAGTCGGAACTAGTTCGACGGAGCCGTGTCCACGTTGCCACATTTCGGGCTTAGCCAGTACACACTCCTGGTGTCACAGTTCTAATACACGTTTTGATTTGAAAATATAATTCTTTTTAAAGATTAAAAAGTGCGCCATTTTCAGAAGCGTCCAAGATTAATTGTCATTCTTGAAATTAAAGCTCAGCAATTAAGATAATAAAGAAAAAGGCGTCCGTTTATGAGAAAAATTAAAGACATTATAATATGACAACAGACATCAAGAATATCATAACCATTTTAAAACCATAAAAATGTTGCACAGTGCAATATTAAAAAATGTACAAGACATTTTTAATCCAAAAAAGCATCGATGATAACGGCCAAACATCGATGACAACGACCAAAAATCGATGTTTCCAACGTTTATAAAAACATCGATGTTTTACCACCTCTGCAGTCCGGTCACATAGATTTCTTCAAACACTTTCAACAGACCCGCAAGCGATAATCGCGCTGTTTAAACCCCGAAACGCCGTGGAAAAACGCGAACTTGATGCAAGTGAAACACAGTTTTTTATGACGACTTCTGTTGATTGCGGGAGAGTGCAAGACGCGTGCTTATCTGTTCGAAAAAAGGCTAGACTCAGGAGAGTAAAACTGCTCTGAAAAGTGAGTGGGTGGTGCGTTTCCCTCTCCCAAAAACGAAACCGAACCCAATTTATAAACAAATCGGCGGAACAACAAAAGTTTTCCACACGTGACCTGCGAGCAGGAAAAGCCGTCGCCACCTTATAAGGCAAGTTTCGAGTTGCATGCGGCACCCAAGTAAATCGTATGTGCGTGCGTTCTAAATTAGATGCCCGCTGTTCGATTTCTGTGTCTGCTATTAATTAGCTATAAGTTCCTGTCTTGGGGCAAGTTTTTCGCCCCTTTCCTTTTTCGCTAATTTTGAAATTGGGTCAACGTGTGCGATGCTACATTCGCTGTTCGGGTTTATATCTTTTTTTTGGCTGCTGCTGCCGAACCAGTTTGTTGACCTTGTTTTTCGGCTCTCCAAGTGCAATTGGGGCTTGACTTTTGACAATATGTCCGACTTTTCTTTTTTATGGGGATCTACGAACTGGGAATGATGATCGGCAGACATGCAATGCAGTTGCAGCGCTGATTTGTGTGGAAATTAACGTTTATCACCACCTAGCAACACCAGGCACTCGCATACAGAAGCACTCCTTCTTGGGGACATTTCCGTTTTTCCAACAACAAAGGCTTTCGGTGTGTGGGTGTGCCTGTGTGCGTGAGATGGGGGTGCCGTTTTTATATTGATTAAATTAACTGTTGTTAATGCCGCCGAGCGTCGCGTTCCGTGTAAACAACAAACAGCTGTTTTTCTGCACTAGAACACACAGTGTTGGTAAGCGCCACGCTATCAGATCGCACATTTTTTGGTGAGAAGTAAGCATATAGAATTAACGTTTTCCCCCTAAATAACTAGCCAAAGTAAAACTTCTACTTACTTGCGAGGAGAAAGTAAAGTAGTATAAAGTATAATTTCCCCTATCAGGGGTACATGATAAATCAGATATTTTTGATCGATCATCTACTTTAGATGATACCTTTGCAAACAATTTTTGGTACCTTTCATCGGAAGTGTAACATACTTAAATCATTAAAAAATTAGTTAATGTTCTTATTGTGCTCGAAAGCTAATAGCAGCCTATCTAAAAATATCATTTATTTAACATCTGACCTGAAAAGCATTTAATGCTTATCAAATAAAGTGTCTTAAATAAAGATCAAGTTTTAAAAAAACTTTAGTTAACAATCAAATAATTATTATAAAATATTTACTTTATAAACAGAGCAAATACGGCAGCTAATCTCTTAAATAATAATAACAAATACAGTGTATAAACGAGAAAAAATAAAAGTGGTAAATTAAACTCTTTAAAATTTAAAGTAAACTAAAAGTAAGTAAAAAGAAATAAATGTTTTCCCTACATCTACTTTACGGATTTTTTTTTTCCAGATGCCCGACTTTTATGAACTTTTGAATGTGCCGTCCACTGCCAGTTTCGAAGAGATCAAATGCAGCTACAAACAATTGATACTACAATGTCATCCCGACAAATTACGACAGCTCGATGACCCAAATCCGGGATCGGAGGCCCAGAACAGCAAATTCAATGCGATAAACGCGGCGTGGAACACGCTTAAAGATCCCATTAAGCGTAAGCACTACGATGCCGAACTGCTGCAGTCGAAATTCCGGTCCCACAGCAATATTTACGCCACAGTGGAGCTGGCTGAAATGAAGAGGATCCAAGTGGAAATCGAAGAAGTCGACAAGCCAACGCCTTCTCCCCTCCGAGAATCTGAATCCGAATCTAAAACAGACAAAGGGTCGGCTACAATGTGGAGCTATGCGTACGACTGCCGATGCGGCGGTCAGTATGTGTTCGATGGACCCGAGGACGATGAATCATCCGAAACGATTGTGGAGTGCAACGAGTGCTCTTTAGTGATTATTGTGAAACAAGCCACAAGTTGTAAATAAAGAAATCCGAGGGAAATAATGGAACTGCTGCCCAGCACAATGCTTGCAAATCAAACTATTCGATTAAGAGCTCTTTTAACTTTAGCTTGTACGCTCAGTTTATTGGTTTCTTGAACCCCGCTGCGGCGAGCTCTCTTTATATGCAAAACATGTTGTCATCGACGTCGTGCATCCGACATTCAACGGGGCCCAGCCCCTTCTTTGTCGCTTGTTGTGCCCAAAAGTGATGTAATATGATGGTACATCATTTTGATTTGGGCCCCCACTCCCGCTGCCCATACACTTTGCATACGTTCCATTTCCGCTGCGCGGGGAGAAATTACCAAAGTTTTGTTGTCTTTGACGCGTGTGAATTGTCGGAGGTTTGCCAAATTACGAGCAGTTTGCCGATTATTTATTTGGGGGAATTTGTGGGTCAAGTTTTAATGGGCACTCTAATCCGCTATGACGAAGTTGCTCCTTATTCGGTTTGTAATACCCTCTTCATTCATATTAATATTTATGACTACATAAATATTGGCTATTCTTCGTATTAAGTGTGATATATTCGCTGCCTAGACATCTAGATGATTTTTGAAATATACATAATTACTTGACCATTTATTATACTAGGCGGCTAAATTTAATTTTTAAAACAAACAGAATAAAACATAATATTTTCTTTGATTTCCCGTTTTACTAATTGCATTTTGATTATTCAAAAATAGTCATAAATAAATTCGACGGTCATAATTAATATTTCTTAGTTGATAATACTAAAAAAATCCATTTAACAAAACTGTCTCCCAACGAATTCCATTAAGGTTGGAAATGGAAATCTCCGATACGATTGCCTGTGGTCTTTTTGTTTTCATTCGCCCAACACAAAAACAGAGGTTTTTAAGCTCCTTAAATGTAATTATAATTACTCGAGTTCGCCCATTTTTCGTTTTACTTTTTTGAATTCAATAACCCCGCCCGATCGCAGCAACGTCGACGATGATGTCAGCAACTGCGAGAGCAGACCAAAAGTCGAATACACATTGGGAATCCATTTGTTTATGATTATTGCAAAGTAATTTGCCGTAGACACGGCAAATTACGCACACCCAGTCTGTCGTGGTTTCTTGTATCTTATTTTTATCAATCCCCCTTGGAAATCTTTTACCACCGGATAAGTACGTCACTCGATTGATAATTAACGGTTGTCTAGCTTTCGTTTTCTAAACATGCACATTGTATATACAATGTATACATACATATGTGCATAAATGTTATTTACATAAACCGGCAGACAAGCTTGATAAACACTTGATTTCCAGCCCCAGTTCGAGTTAAATGCGAAAACAAAAGTCAGTGGAAAACGTGCGTACCTTTCAAATACATACGGTTACATTTATGTATATAAATTGAGCACTGCAAAAAATCAGGAATTTTCGAAGACAATATTATGTTTAAAGCTGCATTCAGATGACTCAAAACGTTTATAAACATTTTCTCTTCATTGCTGAAATTTAGTTTGTAGAACAAAAAAAAAACGAAGTCATTAATTTTTTAATAATATTTTTTTAAGTTAATAGACTAACTATTTCTTTCTTTTCTCGGTGCAGGCATTTCACTGGTCTACTCCTAGGTCTACTTATATCTCGTGGGCATCTCTCACTTTAATAACCTTTTGACACAGAAAATTGAAACGCTTTAGCGCATTTGCCGCTCGTCAGTCGCTCATTCCTTCCCGTCATTCCCTCATTCCGTCAATTACTTCAGCTTGGCTCTTGCTGTTACCAAAGCTGTTGCAACACAGGGAGAAAATAAGTAGTCATTACCAGCTTTTTAAATGTATGTACCTTTTAGAATGAAACTATCATACTATCTGCAATAGAAAGAAGACTTTTAGAAAAGATTCATCGCGATAACTTTAAAACTGAGAGACTAGTTCGCATAGAAGGGGACATACCGACAGACGGACATGGCTAGATGGACTCGGCTATTAGTGCTGATCAAGAATATATACTTGATGTGGTCGGAAACGTCTGCGTTGCAAATTTTTGACTGCAAATATAATACCCTTCGGCAAGGGTATAAATATACATAAAATTGAATGTGTTTCGGTTTCATATGGATATGATTTTTCTCTGTGTATTCTTTCTTTTGTGTGACACGCGTAGTAGCGCGATTTGAGATAATAACGTTAACGTTCGCTCTCGGAAAGTGCAGATACATATGTTGGCTACAACAAGCCGGCCTCCAGATCCAGCTCCAGCCCCAAGTCCGAGTCGTCAACCGTTGCCAGCCACAACTTCACATCTCTGCCCTGCCGCCCGGCACTTTCATTTTGTTTTCACTGCGCATTAAAGACGCTTGAGCAGCTTTAATTGCCCAATGGCTAGAAGGAGACAAAAGACGCGTGTAGAAAGCCCAAGAAGTTTGGAAGAAGCTAGAGCAACGGAGGAAATTGCGCGGAAAATGTTTGTCATACCCACATAACAATCTCAGTGATCTAATGATGTCGGAGACAGTTTAAGTTGGAATTCTGTTAAGAATATGGATAAAAAAACTAAAGATAACAGGTCATCTTCGGACACAATACGTTTAAATCATTTTGTTCTTTTTAAAATATTTTTTTTTGTAGACAAATTTGGGTTATATTAATAATTCGGGTTTATATTTTTAAATATTTAATATTTTTGTTTGTTTGTAAAGTCTAAAAACGCTGAAGACTAGATTACTTTTTCATGGGAAATTAAATTAACATTTGGAAATATTTTTGAAAAAATTTACTTTATTTTAGGGGACCTGAATAAAGAATATTAAAATATTATGATTTTTTAATAATTTTTAAAATTAGGTAATAAAAGTCAAATTGTAATTTTCCCAATTCGAATCTGTTTTTACGTCCTCCAAAACAGCTGGTCAATACCAATGATTCACTGACTTACTGTATTTATTCAGTTGAGGTGGAAATGTATCCATACGAAAGAAACGAACAAGATATTTTCCAGAACTAGCTGAGCGCGCAAGCCACGAAGATCGTGAGTGACAACCCGACTTTTTCTGCTGCTTTCGACTGGTTTTTGTCTCTTTTTCTCAATCTTAATTACACAAAAGTGCCAATTAATTGTTGATTTTTTTTTTTTTTTTTTTGTTTTGCTATATTTTGTTCTCAACTTTGCAACTTCCCAGGCAACGCCTCGGGCTATGTAGCTCTCTTGTTCTGTTTCTGTGTTTCGAATCCGTGGATGAATGCTATATGGTTGCCCAAGGTGTCCGCGTCTGCATCTGAATCTGTATTAGCGAATGTTTAGCCGAGTGAAAAGCAAGGTAACAAGTGGGGCAGCAAGTAGAGCAGACACACATCATGTAGATACGGATACTCCTCCCACACAAATTGTAAATACATAAATGTATAACAGTAAAATAAATCTCATTTCTCTGTACGTCACTGGCTTTCTGGAACAGTATAAATATTTTAGGTTCCATAACGGTTATTGGATGTAAGTGAATTAATTCCTTTATGAATTAAATTAGTTTTTAGATTATTTTTGTAACACTGCCTATAGGCCCTGAAAGGCATTTTATTCTTTCTTAAATTAAGTTTTAAGTCTAATTTTTTAACTTATAATTTTTTATTATTTAACTTACAAAAGGCCGTTTTCTCGTCCGCCTGTTAAATTTAAAAGAAGCTTTAAGCTTTTATTTCCCATACGATTTCAAGGTTTTAACCCTGCTTTAAATTTAACTAACGGACGAGAAAACGGCCCTTAGAAATTCTATTACCCTAGGGACATTTAATATTGAGTCTTTAAAATATCTATTCAGTCTTTAAAATATCTAATCGAAGCCCCATCCTCTTTTGATCGTCACAGTTACTTCGGTGCGGAACCCACGCCCCACAGAGTCGTCAACCTGGCTGGGAGCAGCAGCCTCACGATTGATCGGCAGCACTACCAAAAGACTGACACGCCGTCCAGCCAGCGAGCAAAGGGGAAGATGGCCAGCACCGGCGAGATCTGGCTGCAGTGGTTCTCCTGCTGCTTCCAGCAGCAGCGCTCCCCCTCCCGCCGCCCACACCAACGCCTGCGCATCGACCGGTCCATGATCGGCAATCCCACCAACTTCGTCCACACGGGCCACATCGGATCGGCGGACGTGGAACTGTCGGCCAACCGCCTCAACGCGATCTCAACCCAGATGCAAAGCAAGGGCGGCTACGAGACCAACTCGATACACTCGCTTCATGTGAGTTGATTTAGCCAGTTGGTTGGTGACCCATACAGGATAGCTTCTTTAAGTCGAAACTTCATACAGAAACGCTATTGTAGATTTTAATCAACCAACTATTGAACTTTGATTGAGAACAAGTGTACTTACCCTAAGGTTCGTTTTAAACAAGCCATACTGTAAGCGCTTTCGGTTCTTTTGGTTTGTTGAGTCATTTGTTTTGTTTGGCTTTCCGTTTTGCGGCTTTCTTAATGTGCGAATCACGTCGTGATTCAGTTGTCGCGATCCAAGATCTTTTTGGACGTTTAGCACCTACATAGATAATATGGTCTTGAGACGCAAGTTTCAGGGTGCAGGGTAAAAACAAAACAATCTATAATTTTTGGGGATATCAGCTTAAGTGCACGGGCACATATAAAAGGCATAATCTTGTGCTTCAATATTTTTTTTTTTTTTTTTTTGACTAGCAGATAATTGAGGGATATTTCAGAACTTAATATGGTATTGTGGCATTATTTAACAATCTTCTCTAAATTATTTTTTCGATTTAAAATAATTGAAATCAATAAACTGAAACATAGGTCTTTATAGTTACATAGGTAAAAATATTAGTACTCCAAAAGTAGATTAGACGTTTTTGTTTCTATAAAAACCAGAGATTTATTTATTAGACGCTTAACCCAAATCCCAGTACTTGAACTCTCCATTGAACGGCAAATAACACACCCTACTTTGGCTAAATTCAATTAATATACCCCCTTTGCAACCCCCACAACAACAAACATGTGCATGCCGAGCGCTCGTTTTCTGGGACCCCGAAGGCTGATAACGCCTCCCCTCCCTAATCCCTGCAGCCCCACACCTTTCGCCGATATCCATGTATAACTATAGTTAATTGAGACAACGGAGCTGTTGAGCAGTGTACTGGCCACGGTCTAGTACATCGCTTAAATGGTTGACAAGCCATTCTCGACTCATGTTTCTTTTGGTTTTGCTCTTTATTCGCAGGCCTGCTGATGGAAGCCCCCAATCACCTCGCTATATCCCCGCTATATAATGCATTTCGTGCAATTTTTTACAGAAAATGAGAGGAGCAGCAGAAATACTTTTTACAATTCCTTGTTGTGGCGTGTTATCAGGCAAATATGGAAAAATGAGACGGGAGGCTGATTGGTGCACACTACGGAAAAATATGAGGAGGTGTAGAGAAGAGCACATTTGAATTAGGTTCCAGATAAAAAACCGGACGACTACTCGACAACGGATTCCATTCCGGCTTATATCCGCGGGCCCTTGCGTTACAGAGTTTTGGGCTGATGTGCTTT